TTTATTCACTAAAGATCTCATTGAAGTGTCAAAAGCAATAACACTGAACTTTAAGTACCGATTTCATTTTTCAATTCATTTTTCCTTAAACCAGACAGTTATCACATATCACATTTTTGACAGGTTGCCCCACATACAAATTCACTTTTCTGTATGTTCCTTCTTCAAGCAACCAGAATCTCTCCAAGGTTTATCTTTCATTCACATTATTGTTCTTTATATACTTTTTGCTTCAAAAACCACTGTTATTCTCTCTTTAGATTCTGCTATAGGTATGTTTTTCCCCCACCTACTTTAATGCAATTTAATGAAGTTAGTCTTGGGTCATAAACCACACCATGTAAAAGAGAAAACTTTATGTCAGTGAGATATGTAGTGCTAACACAGATTATTTTCTCAAGTGTGCGTTAGTCAGATAATTTGACTTATGGTGACAACAAATACCAAAGCATATGAGAGCCCTCTGAAGTTACGTAATATATGGAATTTGCACCATGGTTGAAAAGGACAAAGAGATGACAAAAGATGAGCAGTGTTACTGATAATATTAATGTGAAAAAGAATATGAAATACCTTTCTCAACTGATTTTCAAACTTTTAGGGAGTAACTTACTGCAGTCTTATCTGCAACAAAACAGCCATTTTTGCTCATGTTTCTTCCTCATTTTGTGTATCAGCAAAACCTAGCAAATTGCTGGCAGGCCTAGAATTGGAATAGATTCATTTTTTATGTACTGGATAAACATAATGCCAAGGTTCATACAGACAGATCTCAGAGAAATCAAAAAGCTTTCTTACCTATGAAATATTCCACAAGCAGAAAAGGCAATTTCATTTGTGACTAAAGCACTAGACTGAATATTAGGGTTTAATCATCTCAGTTCTTCTCTGTGCTCTAAACGTCGGTTATTTCAATGATATATTTGTCTCAATTCTTTCTCCTTAGTGAGATGATAAAAATCAAATCTCCTTTGCAAACTTTTGGATGTAAGGGTGAAAAGTACCATGCCACTATATTATTTTAATAATCAGATGAAATAGGAATAGTCAATTTTTAAATGTCAATGAACATTCAAAGTTAAAATAAAACATTCTTGAGACACACAAGAATGGCATTTGCAAGAAACTTATATGCAAGGAATCAACAAGCATTAGAGGAGAGTATGCAGCAGGTTGACTCTTCTTCAAAGAAACTTAGAGAGCATAAAGTGACTCATAAACATGTGTTCAATACAGCAAAAATCACAAACTACTGCAATTACACTTTAAACTTGATAGTAAATTTTAAACTAAGTATCATTTACTATTCCTGCATAGTTTGCCTGTATAAAATAGTTGGGTTTTGTTGGTGGTGGGTTCTGTTCATTTATTTTTAATCAACCAAGGACCTAGAAAAGTCATTTTTCTAATATAAATACAGATAAGATTCAAATAAAACATTAAATCACTTCACAGAAAATGTATTTTATAGTGAATGAAAAATAAAGGATTTGTCCCTTCCTACTGGAAGCAAAGAAGCCAAGAAGCTGTATTTTCCTCAAAGCTGTAAAACTTGCCTAAAAATCAATGTAAAGGAAGGTAATTAAGTACATGATAGTAATACTTCCTTCAAAACTTAGCCATGACTGAAATGGCAGATATTTGTACGAATTTCTTTGCACACATTTTACAACATCAGTGTAGCTAAACTGTTTATTTCAGAAGAACTCATACATACAAACATGATTTTAGAAAGTTCACATGCAACAAACTGTAATAAATGTTTGTATATTTTAGTAACACAACCTTCACAAAACTGCACACAAGAAAACTATTCAAATTACAAAAGAACACCCTGGAATGTTGATTTTAACAAGTTTTTTTTCTAAGTTCTACTTTGTACAACTAACAATATGTCCTTGCAACATTTTAACTGAAAATACAATTTTTTTTAAAAGGAATATCTATGCAAATTAAATATAAAACAAGGCTATTTTCACAAAATACAAAATGCTTGACTTACTTTTTTTAAATACTCAATGTTTCTAAAATGTTGTGGAGTTGATAAATTGTCATAAATTTAACACACACTCCCTCCAATTAAAAAAAAAAAAAAAAAGTGGTTCTGAAAATAAATCAACAATTCCCTAGTGCACACATAAAGAGAAAAGATCAAAAGCAGTAACCGGTATCTTTCCTTCCAGTGTTAATTAGTAATTACAAATCTTAGCTTCATTAGTATCTACTTTGAAATAGTTTTTTCTTGTTTGTTTTAGTTTTGTTTTGGCGGTGGAAGGGGATCTTACATAGACAAATCCTGCAGCAGAACTCATGAAATTAAGCAGTTTTGAAACTGCTTGTTTTCATCACAGTTGCAAAAAGATGGGAATGCATTATTTTCTTCCTTGAAGAGCTCAGCTTTCATTTGGTCTCAGTTGCATACACTGCATAATTCTACTGGCCAAGTAACCTCCTTTTTCTCTGTAACAACTCAAGTATGTCTGATAATTTTAGGTAGAAACACAAGTACTAGAATCAGTTCCTTAGCAGAGTACAGAAGTTGAGAGCTCCTACTATTTGGATCAATGGCAAGTCCTATGAAAGGATTTCCTGCATTTGGAAAGGGGGGAATGGAATCTGTCAATGTTTCAAAACCAAGAAGAGTAAACAAATGTCCCTATATGGATTTCAAATGTCTTCCATTCATAATTTACTTGACGTCTTCAACACCGATTCCATTTTCACTTGCATTATCACAGCTGAATATTTCCTTCATACAAGGTAATCAACAGTATAGCAGCAAACCCCGTTAGTAAACCAGCATTCTGAATAAGGAAGAATGTGAGATCCATCTTTCTTCCTGTCACTTTCTCTCTCAGCATATCATTCATCTCTGGGAACTGAAAAAGCGGATAATTTTAGGTAAGTATTGCCATCTTGTGGTAGCATGTGTAACTCAAGGCCATTTCAGAACTGGAACACATTGCTGTTTTGGATTGAGCACTAGAACAAATAGAGGGTGAAGGCAGTCAGAGAATAAGCCACTCTAGTTACGCTAAAAACTGTTTCATCAAGGATGGAAAACTGAAATGGAGTTTTGGTTTTCTTCTGCTGTGGTCCTGTCTGGTTGGCTCTCATGCAAATTTCCTATTTTTTATTTGGGTCCAATTATTGTTCCATGTATTGCTAGGAGCAGCTGCCCTTGTACTGTTAAGTGTTGTGTTTCTTCCTTCACAAAAATGGACAGAAATCTTGGTTCAGGAAATAAAGATTAGGATCCTTCTACTTTATCTATAAGCAAATAAGTGAAGCTGAAAACATGGACAGCCTCTCAGAAATGAGAAACCTGTTACAAGTAGAAGGTCTGATGGGCTAAGAAGACAGTGATAAAGCAAAGAAGAAAGAAGAAGAATGATGCGAAACTGGTGGTAACATATAAAATGTTACCTTACAGTGTAATGAAGGAATTATTTTTTTCATAACATGCATCACAATGGTATAATGATAGCAAAGGGTGGCTGCTAACAGAATAAAACATATTTCCTGAGAGCAAATGGAGGTGATGGCAGATGAGCACTGGTGATAAAGGTTTGCAACAATAGCAGGGGGGCAATTCAGGTTACCTGTTTGTTGCAAATAAGGTCAATTGTGTTTTTGACTACTCAATGCTTGTCAAAGTTCAAAATCTCTTCCTGCTGTGCTGATAGTACAGCTGGAATGCAAAACGACTCTGAAGTTTAGTTTCAGAAGCCTTCTGTTGGGATGACTCAGATGTCTTATCTTTCCTTCATCTCATAAGGCAAAAAGAACTATTGAAGGCACAGTGCAATTCTTGAAGAACAGATTAAGGTAAGGGAGAAGTGGCTAAACCTTCCCAGAAATCAATCAAGAGCTCTGTGTTGCGTTCCTCTTGCACAAGAGGCAAGAAACCAGATTAGCTTCATGCCATTTGTACTCACACACCTCAGTGAACACATTGTCACACACCCTCAGCTTCATCATGTGATGATTTTACTAACGTGGAAGCTAGACTGTGCCTCTGTTCAAGATGGAAAAGAACAGGAAAAAGAAAAGAAAGTAGATAAGACATTTTTGTTAATCCTACCTGCTTCTACAAGCAGAACAGAAGTGTGTGAAAATCGTAACAGAAAGTGGAAAGCCAGATCCCGTGCAAAAAAATTCAGACTTGTCAGAGGGAAGAAAAGTCAGATAGGTGATACAATCCATAAACCTAGAAAATGAAAGAGAAGCAGGAAAGAAGATGTTGGAGGAGAAGGTAAAGAAAGAAAGCATGCAGAGCAATACATATAAAGAAAAGAATGTTACCTACTTCAACAGATTTAATAATAATAATTTTAAATTGAGCCACACTATATTTATGCCATGAGTTCTGAATATCATACTTGAGTACACTACGATTCATGATAGCTGAGTGAAGCTAAATAAAAAGCATTAGTAGTTAAGGTACTGCAAATTTAATAAAGGAACTATTTATATTGTTTATTTAACTCCAAGAAATACTTATAAAACCCTCTGTTATTAACTCAACTCTAAACAAAATATTTAGTTTAATTTTGTTAACCTATTTTTTTTCCTTTTTTTTTTAGAAGATGCCTTCCAAAGAGGCAAGTGATTAATTTAATAATCAAAACTCTTTAAAATGCTGAAAATATATATATATATATATATATATATATACATATATATATATATATTTTTTCATTCTTTTACAAAAACTACCCAAGTTCATGAAAAGCTTTCCCTTATTTAAAATTCCTTTTCAGTAACAGTTTGGCCAGCCCTAGTTGTGAAATCAAAGACTTTCGCATTTAATGAATAAGCATAATTATTTGTGCACCTCCACTTAAGGTCATAATTGATTATTTAACATCTAATAACAAGAAGTCGATGATTCTGGCATGAAAGAGACAGAATACTAATTTCCTTCAGAGAGATTGCTTTTGAAGTCTTTGTTTTCTTGAAGAAAATTAAATAACTGAAAAAATGAAATTCTTTCTTACCATATCTGCCAGAGAGATGTACAGGAACATTCCACCAGCTACAGCAAAAATGATGGTAGGAGCGAAGTTGTTGCCTACTAATATCCCAAGAGCCATCCCAATGTAACAGGAACACGCAGACAGAAAGTTGAAAAACAGAGCCTGTCGAATGCTCATTCCGGCATTAAGCAAGATGACAAAATCCCCTGCAAGAGAAAAAAGAAATGAAAAAAGAGAAAACCATCTTCAGCAAAAAAAAACTGTTTTCTGATTTAAAAGGAATTAAGAAAAAAACATTTGTATACAACTTATAATCCACTGCTGTTTTTCTTTCATTCAATTTTCTTCAATACTAAGATAACCAAAACAGTCTAAAGCAATTAGGTGATGCAGAACTTAGCTAAGATTCTGAGAATATGGGACTAGCCATAAAGAAAAAAGAAGAAAAAAAAACCCATGCACAGGATGGCATGTGTGAATAATATTCCTCTCTGTAGCAGGTGGCTTGGAACTAGATGACCTTTGGGGTCCCTTCCAACTCCAACCTTTCTGTGATTCATCGTTCTAATATTCATTCCCAGCTTCCATCCAGCTGCATTCAAGAACTTCCTGCAATAGATATGTATTTTGGTACTTGGGAAGATACTTTGATAAGCATGTTTTCCATTAAATTGTCTAAATTTCTGTTCAATCTATGCCAAGTTTTGGCAAGCGTAACTTTCCCACGCTGGTGGTTACCACAGAAATCAATACATTTCTTACCCAGTTCATGAGGAAACTCTTCACACAAGATGGCTATGGAGGTACTAAGTCCTTGAAACAGAGACAAAGTGAAAGAAGCACCGATTGCCAAACCATCTAAGAAATTATGTACAGCATCACTCAGTGTTACCATCCAAGCAATGGTTCCAATCTTTGACAGCGGGCGCCCACCAAGACATTTACACAAACTGCCCTGGATTGCTTCTTCCTGGAAAATCAGCACAATAAACTAATTACATGAAACAGTGAATAAAGAAGCCAATGAGACACACTTCTGGCTTTAAATGAATGCTGAGCATAAAATAAAGCACTAGTATATAAGGATACCAGAATACTTGGTCTAAGAAGAAGGCAGCATAGGTAACAGCAGCAAACATTTTCTGTTTCAACAGTTTAGTGAAAGGCCTGATCACCCAACTCTACAGCTTTATCTGAATACCCTCGTCTGAGACAGAAAAAAATCCAGATCACAGTGTCTGAATGCGTCTCTGGAAACTGTGCTCAAAATAAGAGATTGCCAAGGATTGATAAAGATCTTCACAGCTTCCTCAGCCACCTCTATTAAGTGCATACAACAGGAAGGATCTGACCACTGCAATTGGGAGTATCTGTATTTCCTACCTAAAACAGACCTGGACCAACTACATGCTGCTGCCAGCATATCATGTTCTTAGAGACAGATGCATCCATCACCAGTCAGTATCAGCCAGCTAGCTAAGCAGGAACCTTGACACGTATCCAGATAGCCTGCTAATTTTATTTCTAATTTTGATTGATGATAGTCAAGTCCAGCTATCAAAATCAGTTTTTACAAGTTTCATGTTTAATAAGAACATCAGTGCCTACTTCTGATTGTGCAAGTTGAAGTCTCATAACATGAAAACAACTGGCTGACATAAAACTGCAATGCATATACACCCCAGGGCTCTCAATCATTCCTCCCAGAAGTGGAAGCAATTTATATATCTGACATCATGAAGTAATGAAACACTTGATGAAGATAAAGGAAATGCCATTTCAGTTGGGAGCACAAATAAATAATCTTTGCTAAAAAAAATTCTAATTATCCATTTCAATAAACTTCTGTACATACATATATTGCAGTTACATTATATTTTCAAACATAGTATTCAGGGGAAAAAAAAGGACTTGCAAATATGGAAATTGTTTTATCTTTGTCAAATCAAATAATAATGCTACCACACAACTGAAGTTTGAACTTAATGGAAATATAATAATTAATGAATGCTTTCAATATCTTTAATGACAGAGCAATGAGGTCTGTCTCATACTTTGCCCACTCTGTTCTTATGCATCCTTCTATGTAGCAGCTGCCTTGGGACAGGATGAAAGTTCAGATCAGGATTTCCAAGTTACATGTGTATTGCACTACTTGGAATTTGTAGCTAATAAAGCCTCGGTTAAGAAATGGAACAAATGCCATAAAGCACAGTTATAACTTCTATTCAGTGCATAACAAGTCCCAGATTTATATTTTATGATTTGAAATGAAAAATGGCTTAAAAAAACATGGAGCTTCCCTGCAAATTGAAACACAGTAGAAACGATGCGTATGTCTATATTTCTCTTTGGGCTGTAGAGGCATAACAAGCTTAGCCAAGAATTACATAAAGAACTCATTTTCTTCTGCCAGTTGCACAGGTGAGAATTCCAATTAAACTCCAAGTCCTTGCATACATATTTATGACAAATATAAAAATCTGATCTCAAGGACTTTTCTGTTAAAATAAATACTTTGTGAATATACACACTGAACTTTTTATGCCTCTATGAAGAAAATGAACATTGGGTAAGAAGATGTTAAGAGTTAGCTGTAGAACTCATCAAGAACTGAAATGACTTCAGACATGAGCTGATATTTGGGTTATCTATGGAGTTTCTTTTACTTTTTTTTTACAGTAACTGCAATTAAATTAGGATAGAAGCCTTGATTTAATTCTAAAACTACTTTTTTGCTCCAATCTTTTAAACTTTAGAGACAACAGTAGCTTAAAAACCATGACTCAGATTTGGAGGGACTTCTGTTATATGCATATGTGTCTGTCTGCTATTTACTGTGAAGCTCTGAAGTACAATTCTTGCCTGTAATCTATTTCAGATAACGACAGGATTTCTTTTGTAAATCATATAAAGTACAAGGACATTGCTCATCTGGGTTTACGTTCTGAACTTTACTAGATTATATGTCCAATAGAAATAGACAAATGACTAATACATATTCTAAATGCTCAAGGCAGACTACTGATAAATTTACCATACAAATATGAGGGCATTAAAGGCAAAAATGAACAGTGTCTGTCTCTGCAGTAATGTTCCCTCTTTGTCATGGTAGCTCAGAAGATGCCACAGAAGAGATGCCAGCTAAGGAGCTCAGGAACACCCAACAGATCTATCAGGTCTGACTTTTATTAATTATTAGCACAGTTCTGTATTGTTTGGATTACCACAATTTATGGTAAACCAAAGCTGACTTTGATATTTTTTGCCTTTTTTTTTTTTTTTTTTTTTAACTTTCGAAGCAATGGTCTCTTCTTTGTTTCTAAACTTGAGAAACGATATAGAGACTCTCTTATTTTATCTTATGTTATCTCAACAGGTTACAATTGCTATTTCTAAAGAATCTGTGACTCCCCCAGACATAAGTCAGAATCTCAATTTGTTAAAATCTTGTAGAACAAGAGTAACATTCTGCACGTTAGCAGAAGATCCAATAGCAGTTAGGACAGAGCAATACCTCTCTGCTTAAAATATCTTCCATAGATATCCCTTAGCATCCTCTGGGACTGCCAGCAGGATCAAGAAACCCTGAAATTGCCCAGAGGACATAAATAAAAGTCACCATAAAGTTTTATTATACACGTCTAATGTTACATGCTTGGGACTACAGGCATTTTCAGCAACCAGTCTGTGAAGCACGTTAAGAAAAGTTACTGTTGTAAAAGTTACCATATATTGTGTTTGCCCCCTTTCTTGAGCTTCGGATTAAGAGGACAGTCAAATTCTATTATGAATATAATTTATATATCCCAAGTGGATCCCTACGTATCAAAAGCATGTAAAATTTGATGCTGACCTATCCTACTGCGCTACCTTGTGAAGAGCACAGGCAGTAAACCAGAAATCTTTGCAGTGAAAAATCTGTCTCAGCCATCTTACTGTTGTTGCTATAATTTTCCATTTTGTTTTTGTTTGTTTGCTGCTTTTTTTAAATAAGGGGCAGTACTGCTCCTCTGTGCACAAGGAAAAGAATAATGAAGTTCACCAACGTTTCCTTCCTGCTATCATTTTCTTCTCAGACAGAAGGAGGTTATATTTGTAGTACAGAAACAAACACAGAAGTATAGAACAACAAATCTGAAAAAAAATAATATTTAAATCAGGAGGAACAGCTACTGTCTCAACCTACGATGCTTCCGTAATCCCTACAGTACCTAAATATACTGGATTAAGCACAACCAGCACGACAGTTGTTGTACCAGTTTTCCTCATAAATCATTGATTCAGAGAAACCAAGTTCTCAAACTTAACGTTATATGCTGTCAGAAACATAATATGGGTCATGTAGCAATAAAACACACTTTAAACAAATCAGTAACAACAAAACCAAAATCAACAGAATTAACTGATTAAACATTTATCTCTGTCCTATCTGCCCTCACACTGATATCTACTACCTTTTTGAGTTGGTTACTAATTGAATGCATTGTTCAGCTTTCCTAAGTTTGCCCCCAGAAAACCCATGCATTTTTATTAGGGCTCAAGCAAGCTATAATCTAAAAATGTAGAAAAACTTCACATAAGTAATAAAAATTCATACTCCCTCTCTTCCTCATATATGCTTATATAATAGGTAGGAATAAAACAGATAATTTTCATACCTGTGCTGAGACAACACTAATGCTGTCAAAACCAAAATTTCCATTGCTCTCTACGATGGCTGAATTTGCGTAACAAGTCACTCCATTGCTGGATGATGGTGGTTTGGAGGGACTAGTCTTATCCTTAGATTGATTCTGTTCACCATTTTCTAAGTCGTTATGGCCAGGCTGGATGACAAATAAATAAATAGGTAGCTTATTAAATAAAAAGTGAAATAACAAAGAAATATAGACCTTAAAAGAAAATGCACTGGGCATTTCATATTTGTGTTACTTTGCTTTCAAATACCAAGTAAATGTTTAAATGAGCAGCAATAAATCATTTAATATTTAAAATTTTAGATGAACTCCAAATTTATTTAGGTTCCCAATATATTTCTTACTTTCAGCTAGCCAGAAAACTCCTCAAACACCTGTGAAATTTTTTCACTGTTATACCTTTATGTAGAGCCTTTCAAAACCAAATGCCTTCACCATTAGTATCAACATTTGCTAGTTATTCACAGCTGCTTACAAAGTAGAGCTGTTACTAAAAATAAAGTGCAAATTATTTTTTCCCATTTTTCATATAGCCATTGCAAACAAGGTACAACTGGGTCCCTGTTATTTTCAATAGCATGATCGGTTTGAGAGCAAAGACCCAGACCGATGTAAGAGTAGCTACAGAAGACAGTTTTCTTGGCAAGACATGATTAGAGTCCAAAAAGTTTGAGAGGCCTTTCTCTGATACAAATTCAGTCTCATCCATGTGTGCACACAGAAATAAAGTACTCTGACATATGGGTAGAAAGCAGATGTTGTGTAGTACTTAGATAACTGCAGTGCCACTAACGCAGGTTTGTGTACCAGAGCACAGCGGAACACAGAGCTAGTCACTGCAGGTGAGATTCACAAACTGTCAGCACAAACAAATTGAACTTTACAGATGAATAAGATACATATGTTACAGTGATATGTCCTGCCCGGACAGGAGCTCCAGAGGGATACTCCACTCTCTTCAACTTTTACATATTTCCACTTTTTTTCTTCTGATGTTTAGCTAGCATACTGCAGATTTGGCCTTTGAAGGCAGCTAGAGCATATACCAGTGACATCAGACCACACACACACACACACACACACACACACACACAAACACACACACACACCTGGATTCTATTTCCAGCTCTGCTTGTAACTTCCTCAAAAAAGTGAGATTGCTTTACATCTCCATATGGATTTAAAACAGATGCATCAGAACACTCAGTAATGCTGAAATCCTCAGGAAAAAAAAAAAATCCCACATCTTATCAAGCTATCGAGAAGCTCATAAAAAATAACATTTACTTTAAGGTAAAGCTTGCACACTTAGCTTTTTGTTACCTGATTATAGATTTTTAGTATCACTTTAAGAATCCTTTCCACAAAGAAGAGAATATAGAATCCTCCAAATACAGCAACTGCTTTCTCAATGTAGTTATCTACATGGGAATCAAATCCAAATGCCTAACAGAAGATAAAAGCAATGCAAATTAGACTGGAATCTTAGTACATTTCCATAACAATTTCCCCCACAATACACAAATACTCTACAAAAATACAGTCTTTCTACCAGCCACAAGTTTCAATGAGGCAGAAATCATGAAAAATCCTGATCCTTCTAGATTTTTTTTTCAATATGGATTAAATACCAGCAGAGTTTTAATACAGCAGAATTTTACATGCAGGATGTAGTAGTTAACTGCAAAATTAGGAGGTCTAATTTGGAACAAATTTAAGACCATTAGAACTTTATCCAATCCATTCCTCTTTCTGTCTAGAGGCAAAATAACCCTTGGTCTTCCCCAGGTCACAGGAACACATGGATCTTGATGGCTCTGCCCACCCAGACAGAGAGGGAAGCTAGTGTCACTGATGGCCAACCACAACCCTCTGGAGACTTCAACCTATACTCTCAGAAGACCACTGCAGCATGCTTTTAGAATTAATACACTTTGGAAACTATCATACAAAAAAGTAAAGATTTTCCTTGCTTACCTCTGGAATGAGCTGGAAGATTGCATTAGAAAAGAGAGTACCGACGGCCAAGCCCACAAAGTAGGTTAAAATCTTAGGGAAATAAGACTTCTTTAAGAGAGGAGTTAAAATAAATCCCAGAAGTGATGCCAAGTTAATGATAGTCACAGCTAGGAACCCAAATCCCCAAACTGTGGATAGAAAACAAACACAGAAATATTTAAAAAGTTAGTATAAAATTCACTTTGGGCTGCTTGTGATTTTATATAACATCTGAATTGATGTTGAATTGGGAAAAGGTAATTGTTTGCTACTTGCAATTATACTTTATAAAGATAAAAATTATAAAAGCACAGATATTTAAGGCATATACCCACAGAAGGGAAATACATGGACATATTGTCTGGGACTACCATACTAAAAACTGAAATTGGGCTAATATCTGGGATATACAATATCTGCTGGAGTAAATCAGATCTCTTTACAGTCAGTGAAGATTAAAAACTTGGGTTTAAGTCAACAGTCAAAGTAACATTGTCTTAAGATGCAAAATCTTGCTAGTCCCAGGGTTAGATCTAACTGTCATTTCCATAAAAAAGTTCTAGATAGAAAATCTGCCGTCTTGGTTGTACAAGAGCCAAAAGTCCTTCCTGATAAAAAATGATTCCTTCAGATCACCCTGAGGTGGTAATGTGTTGTTCCTGACATTCCTCCTTTTCCCATCATTCAAAAGGGGGGAGCTTCTGCTTTGCTGAAAACAAAGTCCATCACTACTTATTAGACATGCAAGATGGTAAATACCTAATAACAGTGATTATTACAATAGAGAAATGAATGCATATAAAGAAGTTGTTCTATGTTCAAAAAGATGGACACCAGGAGAAAAATCTTTAAGAAGCAGCAAATGCACCTGGTTTGGCCATCATTTAGCTTCCTTCACCATATGCATAGTTTCAGATTTTCTGAGTTCAGACACTAGGGCTTGTAATTATTTTAGTGTCTGACCTGTAGGTTGCAGGAGTTTTGCTGGTTTTTTTTAATAGCATCAAAACATTTTGTTTCTGTGTAGCTACAGTTTTACCCAGTTCTATCTCAAGTCCCTGTGAGTACAAAGAAGCCTTAAGGGTTGCACTGAGAAAGTCTACAATGCTGCCTCAAGTGAAACCACAGAAATACAAAGATATGCACACGGACAAAGAGTTTGTTTTTAAAAATCAACCACAAATTACAATCAAAGCCAACACAATGGTGGACATACAAGAACAGTTTGGTATAATCCAAAAAGCTGCATCAATATAATAGCCTCATTATAAGTTTTGCCATATGTACGTAGAAAAGTAACCATAAATTCCTTTCTACATAGCAGAAACAAACAGATCAGATTGACATCTGCAGCCCAACTTTCCTGTAACACTAGATTAGCAAACACACTAGACCAGGTTCATCACCTGCAACTGGGATTGCTACACATCGTTTGCACAGAGATACAATTTCTGTATGTGATGAATTTCATATTGTGTAAAGAACAGGAAGGACAGCACTAGAAGCATTCAAAGCATTTGCAAGAGGTACGTCAGTGCCAAGCAAAATATTCACTTGCCACGTTTTAGAGAGAAGGAGATAGAGAGGGATAAATAGACCATTAGATGCAGTTAGATTCACTAAGCTGCACAGGAGCTTCACTCCCATTGCAATACAGGACAGTCAAGCTTGTAAACGTCTTTTAGAAATCAAATCTATAATAAATAAGTGTCATTATGAATCACACACCGCCATTTGGGATTACTATAGAAGAGCAAGTCTCTCATTTTAAGACAATAACAATTCCTACATATTTTTCCTGAGAAAAATACACATTTTAAACTGAGTTAACAAAACTAAAAACAAATAAAATCTTTTTTGGATATAAAGAATTTAGGTTACATGCCCAAATTACTTCACTAGACACAGGACATTAGAACAAGTTTCACAAATTATGATTTAAAAAACCTGTCACTACAAATCACTTTCTACAACTAAAGAGGATAAGTTCACAAATTGTGTGTGTAAAACAGAGGATGCCAAAACAGCAGAAGAATGGAGCTTAAAAGCAAGCACAGAAAAACTGGGTATTGCCAAATTCTGAAAGTTCCCACAATATTACATGCTTTTCCAAAGTATGGTCTAACACTCATGCTGGCATTGCTTGTTCAGAACAGCCACATGTACTGAGACACTTAACATGAAGTATATGCAGTAAATGAAATACCTGTCATCACACTGTATGCTTAATGCTGCAGGAGATGTCTCAAGGTACAAAAAGAATCTGTGTTTGCAAGTAGAGATATAGTCTAATCCACTGGTATGAATTATTCCCATTGCCCCTTTTGTCATTATTCCCTTTTGTTCCCCATTTGCTTTGGAATTTAACATATTGATTTATTACTATTACTATATTACCCCATGATTATACTATTATGGGAATTGTTACTTTAAAGAAAATACTGCAAACTGATGGGGGGGGAGCAGGGAGAGAGTGATAAGATTCCAAGATAACCAATGCTGTCAAAATTGCTTTACTGCTGTATTATAACACCATACCATGTATGCACCATTCTCTTAAAATGGTTTTTATTCACTAGGACTCTATCCACACTAAGCCTTCCATGAGTGAATACTCCCTGGAAAACAGGTTTGTCTGAGATCATGTAACAGAGCAGAGCACTGAAGCACAGTCCACCCTGATACTGTGACATGGACAGTTTTTGCCATCAACCACTCAATGTCTCTAGAACTCCAGCCCCAACAAAGAGAGTACTCAGATGCCAAACCAAGAGAAATCAAAAAAATAGGCAGCAGGAGAGTAAGTCCCCCTCAAAACTCCAGTGCTCAGTATTATTCCTTACAAGAAGCGGGGACCCTTGCTCTAGGCCTTCCTGAGGCAGGCTCAGGCTCCTCATGAGCAATTTCCTAAAAAGAAGAGGAAATAAGGGTGTGAAAGACTTTTTAAAAAGCCAAGAGGATTGCACAGAATAGCAATTAGCCTTGGACGTTTATAGCTATTTCATGCTGTTCCATACCACTCCCTATCACACTTCAGAGGGGTGAGAAAGGGTAGGAGGAAACAAGTGTTTCAGCTAGGTTAGATATTAGATACACAAAGCCCAAGGAAAAATGATACACTATACACTGTCTTTTAACTTCTAGTTTGCTTATGCAACACCTCTTTAATGCAAGTAGCTGCCCCATGAAGTTTACTGAATTCATTTCTTCTGTATGCCTTATCTGTTCATACTTTGGATATTCTTAAAATGCATGAGAGTCCCTAAGCAGAAAACTCAGAAGCACAACTGGAAATATGCCTTGTGAATTTTGCATGATGGACAGTAGTAGAAATCAACTGCTCTCAATATTGCCACAATACAGATTCATTTTTTCCTGGGGCGGGGATGGGGGGCAACACATAAGTCTACAGAGGATATACATGCATTAAAGCCTACTTTTGGCTCTGGATCTTTCTGTGAATTTCCCTGTCACAGTCTCACATACTTGTGGTTTTTAAAAACTCTAAGCATGGGCCTTGCAGATTTCTTGAGCTGCAGGCAAGGGAGGGGCAGAGAAAACACTGCCTTGCTTATCTGTCTACTGGACACTGCTTCTGAGCCATCCGGATAAAAGAAAAATAGGAGTGGTGGTCTACATGCCTTACATGATCAACTAGATATCAAGCCTTCTGCACACAACCTATCCAAACAGTGCCTCCCAACAATAAATAACTAAACAAACAAACAGTACCAAAAAAAAAAAAACAACAAAAACAAAAAAAAAAAAAAAAAAAAAAAAACCAACAAAACAAACAAACAAAAAAAACAGATCCCACTACGCTATGGTGCAGATACTAAAAGCTTCCTGAAAATGTGCCCTCATAAGATATAAATAATCTAAAACAATCATGATAAATCAATGCCACAATGCTAGTGATTAATCAAATGTAGTTCTTATTATTCACAGAAACAGGTGAGTTTTAGGAATGATCAGTAATTCCTAAAAAACATTACATTATTTATAATTATTTATACCAATTGAAATGTTACTAATGCTGGTATTTTGAAAGTTATGAAAAACGTTGCAGTACCTCTGCTAATAAATATTCTCATTTGGCACATGCTCATTCGACATCTCATCTTTTACATCTAGTCCCCAAGAACAATGAATTTGGATGTCACACATTTGGTCCTTACCAATGGAATGAGAGATTTTGTCAACTAATTGGTTCTTCTCTATTATGTTTTTGGTTTTTTTTTCACCATGCCTTAGGTTCCATGCAATCTAATCAGAGTATCAATGAAATAACTAACCTTGTAAAGAATGTGGTCTAGATGCATCCACAGAATTTTCCTGATGATCACACGGGTGAAAAATTAACTGTTGCAAAACAGCAGGACATACTGTAGAGAAGTCTGAATTTGATATGTGACTGTTGTTTGGTATTCCATGCAAAGAAAAAATTTCCTCTCCAGTCAGGCACTGCAACAAAAAGGATTTTTGGCAATATAAATAATAAAAATAAAGAAAGCCATCCACAGAGAAACAGAATCACAGAATCACAGAATCACAGAATCACCCGGGTTGGAAGGGACCTCAAGGATCATGTAGTTCCAACCCCCCTGCCTAGCAGGGCCACCAAACACACACATTCAGATCAGGTTGCCCAGGACCCCGTCCAATCGGGCCTTGAACACATCCAAGGACGGGGCATCCACAACCTCCCTGGGCAGCCCGTTCCAGGGCCTAACCACTCTCCTTGTAAAGAACTTCCCCCTAACATCCAACCTAAATCTTCCCTCCTTCAGAAACCCAAGAATTATGATGTAAAAACACTCCAACATATTTTCAAAGTAGTGTACACACTCTTTGCACACTGCTCATGAAAACATGGCAACTGCTTAATGTGAAGCAGAAGGAAATTTAGGTATTTTAAGATAACTTAAAATAAGTGAAACAAGTTTTACATTTATGTTTGCAAATATTACGTGCCGTGAATCAGGGCAGACAAATGTTACGATATATTTGTTAGTATAGCCTCAACATAATTTAAATCCCATGTAATTACAAAATAATTAAATTTAAGAACAGACCAGACACAGTTAAAAATCTTAGCGATGGAATAGCATCAGAAAAGGATTGGTAATTCAGTGACTGCTTACTCCTATAAATGACTGCTTCTACCTCACAGAAATGTCTCATATTATTTCCTCAAATTAACCGTTCTAGAACAGCCCAAACGTTAACAGCATTAAAGACTTTTCATTAATTTTATAGGCAACAACTATTAACAACAACCACTGTTTTGTAAAACCATCCCATACTCCAGTGAAATCCACTGCTACTTTGGATCTTCACTTTGCCTTCGGCTCAGGACACCACAGTACCTAATGGCCAAAGATAAATGTGCATAGTTGTGCTAAACTAGGCCTGGTCCTTCTCTTGGTTATTTTCAACCAAAAAGATAAAATACTTAAATAACAATAAAATACTTAAAACACATATTTATGGGGAAAAAAAGAGCACTTTCACATTAAATGTTCCATACCACTAAAGACTTTCATCTAATGATTTCCACTTATTCATATTCACATTCTCTGGCAATGATCAATAAACACACAGCTTTATTTTTTTTTTTGGCTGCAAACTAAAGTAATTTAACATGCTAGTGTACAATATACACATATTAAGGATGAGTCTCAAGACAAAAAGTGCTTTCTTTCAATATGAGACATCAATTCAGCACACAGCATGCTCTGTAGCGTATCTCAGTGTCACTGCAAGTGTAGAGAGTATCGGAAGCCTTAACAAATTACCAGTGGTCACTCCCTACTCTATACAGTCTCCCCTGCACTTCTCCAGTAATTCAGGATTATTCATAAAGCAAATTTATTCTGGAGACGAGCCAAAGTAACTACAACTCACTTATTTCAACAGAGCTGCCTCCATTTCCATTAAAAAATGTTTTCCTAACATTGTCCAAAAGGTGAAAGGTATGCACATATCATTTTCATGTGATTATTTCTTGTTTAGCTGAGAGGAAAACCTTTGGGCCAATTCAAGCGACTTCAGGCAAATTATATCCAGAATGTTTCTGCCCTTCTTCTTGAATGACCCCGTCTAATTTTTTTGTTTGTTTGTTTGTTTTAAAGCATGTTGACCCATTTAGTCTCAGAGGAACTGCTGCACAGAGAAATCATCACTGAAGACAAGTTTTTTTTACAGCTCAGTAGCTGAACTTCTGAGGCTTTCTATACTGCATTTAATCATTTTACCCTTAAATCTGCATTATGAAATAATGCGGAATATATGAGTAATATTCCCAGTACGATACAAAGAGAGGATAGTTGTGGTCTATAGGAATAGTTACTATACTGTGCTTCTAGTATTATCAGCTAGTTGAAGAGCCATTTGTGGAAGGCTGCAGTGAATGGCTGTTAGAAAAACAAGCCAGTGTGCACTGAGGTTCATGATGTAGCTACCTCAAAAATAGTTAAATATCTCTTTCCTAGAAATATAGAATGGATGACTAGTAATTTTAAATACTAGTATGTTAATACTAGTTTACAAAGGAAAACAAACAAATATTTTTGTTGGAGCAAAAAAATATCAATTTGACAAGCATGAATTAGTAAACTTGTGGCTTACAAAGAAATGAGAAATTTCATTGGACAAGAGCGCTTTTATGCAAGGGCAAGAAACAGCATTTTATTTAATTACTATTATTATTTTGATCAGGGACAAACCCAGATGATAACAACTCCTGCAAACGATTCATTGTTATGAGTCACCTCATCTTCTCAGCAACTCCTACATTCATCCAAGGGCTGAAACGCAAGCTTGTGTGAGTTCACAGACACAATTAAGAGACTAATTAAAAGATTCAATCACTTGGAAGTCTTGAATTGGAGCAACTTGTGTTTGCACACTGCAAAACTGTATTTATCTTTGGAGGATAAATACATTAAGACAATCACATTACTGTAAAAACTCAAGCTATTTATTTTGTAAGACTGACAGGTAATCTCAGCAGAAATATGATTTATCCTCATCGAATAGAGGACTGAGGATGATGTCCTGGCTCAATAAGTCTACCATCATGCCTGTCCCTGGCTATTCAGTAAGCCTTGTCATGGTGCTAAAAGTGAGATGACTGGCTGTAATGTGACTGTTACCTAGTCTTTAACTCACAGCTTCAAAGAGGATACAGCATAACTGACCATGTCTCTGAACTGACCAATACAGGATTTTCTTTTAAGACTGTAAATGAAATAAAGTGATGTTCACTTTCCTACAGTCTCTTCACACCAGCATAGCACATATCTATAACAAAAAAAGCAGACACCAGATCACCACATTATTTACAGGAAAGAATGAGATAATTGCTCAGACAAAAATAATGCAAAGTGCCTTTTAACAGGAGAATAAATAAAAGAATGCTATAATGCCAACCATCTTGTAAACATTTCATTCCCCTTTCTGATTTTCTGATGTGTTCTTATCTTTGCTTTACCTTTATCTGTAGCATTCCACATGTGAAGCACTGAGATATCCAACAGCAACCAGTCACTGCAGTTTCTAGATGTTAACAGGTTAAATACTAGGCTAGATTTTTTTGTCACACATCACAGGTGAGAACTGGATACTAGGAGATGATCATGCATTCACTAAGCAGCTCTCAGTAAGAAAGTCCAACCATATGAAGCTACCTGAATACATTTGTGTGCTTTGGGGATTTCATACACACATTCAAGGTAGCTGTTTATGTGGGGAGCTGAAAAATGTCCATGAACGCTGAAATTCACTGGAAATTTTCTAGTAAGTAAGACATGTATAGAGTAGAACAAAAAAGCCTATTTATCTTCTCACTGGCCAGGCAACATCAGATCGTGGTGATGAATCAAGACCATAAGCCACACGCACAGTCAGGACATTCATTCTTCTTTCAAGAAGTACTAGCAAACTAGCAAACATTACCAAAATAAATGAAATAATAGCAGATACCAGCCTTGTTCTACTTTATCCAAAACATCAAACTTACTGTTCTGATTCATTTTCAGGTAAAAATACACAATATCAGAACACTAATGTCAATAATGATTTATACTTTATTTTGTCCAAAGTTTTGTTTTAAAGATAAAATAAATTGCATTAAGACAATATTCAGGTGCAACATAAAAGCTGCATAAATACAATTTTAGAACAGTCCAACTATGATTTTAGCACCTACTGACTACCCCAAAAAATAGAATAAAGAATAAATAGAATATAGAATAAAGGGGGGTTGGAAGGAGAGGAGGGTAGTCTGGCATGATGCAATTACACAAAAAAAGTGTCATATTGGACATCACACAATGTAAATTACTATACATGCCTACAAAGTTTTACATAAGTTTATTTTCAAAACCCCATCATTAACAAATTAAAACATTTTTTCCTCTTGTCTTCTCAAATCAACCTGGAATAAAAGGACAATACTAATAGAGGCTGTTCCTTCCTGTCAGTTTTTGAGGGGTTCTGTCACTGTCCCTTACTGATCTGCTCTCCACTATAAATGACCTCAGGTTTGGATGAGGGGCTATTGATAGCACGGGTGTGTTATCTTCACTGAAAGAAAGGACCTGGAGTCATCCCACTAACTCTGGACACTGAAGTTAGGAACTGAAAGTCTAAGATAATCCTCGTCTCCTCCTACAGTCAGATATCTTTCCAACCTCAGTAGATGACCCAGCCTGCCTGAAAAATACACGATTCACTCTCCAGAAGTACTTATTTTTCTCCATTGAAATTCAGTAGAGTTTGGGCCTCTGGTGCCTTACAACACACAAACCTCGATTAGGCCGCTTTCTGGTTTTGGTGTTGTTTTTTTTTTTTTTTTCCAAAATCAGTGGGTACTCAAAATAATAAGCTTGAAATCACAAAGTTTGAGTCACAGTGTCAAAAATGGTCACACGAGTTACTGAAATAACTGAAATAACAGCACTGAACAAAGCCACTGATGTACTTAACACCCTTGAAGGATCAAGAACCAAGACGTTAAATGCACTTGCTTAAATGGCTGAAAAGTCAATTTTAAGAAGGAATACAAGTAACTTATCAAAAAAGGATACACATTTCAGTACGGCACCCTAGATATTTTTCAAAAAGGACACAATTAAAACAGGTCTGTTTAAAAGAAAACGACTGTTTCAGTTAAGCTTCAAATGATTTATGAGTGTTGGCAGTAATAAGTATTTTTTTCTCTCTGTAGTCTGTGTACGAGGGCTACGTGCTTTTTGCAGAGGGAAAACCTGAAGGAACCACTAAGGAATCTACTCATTTTTAAGCCCTTCTAAAGAAAGATCCTTTTCACGACTGTATTTAACACTGCAAACTCATATTTAGCATGTGTGGCAGGAAATGATTATACACATTTTTTAATACACCGTGTTGGAACGGTGTTTATTTATTAAATTTGAAATAGAAGCAGTGACTCTGAGAAATACTACCACACTTATACTGAATACTATGTTGATTTCAGTGGCATTAACTTCAAATTAAATCCCTGGTCAAAGAAAAGACATCAGAATCACACTGATTCTAAAACAAATTGAGTTTATCCAAGGTTTGTCTCCATTGCTGAGCAAGCAAAGGAGCTTCTGCTCCAAGCACAAAAAAGAGTCTCGCGGTCCTCAGAAAAGTACCTCCTCTGTTTCTTGCTGCGTTGAACCAAACCAGAGCAAACAGCCACCACTGCTTTGCTTTCGTAAGGACATCTCCAGCAGCCTAAGGATTCCCCTTCAGGGAAACTCAGGTATTCTCAGACAGTACACAGATAGGAAATTAAAAGTAACAACACTGCCTGAATTTTGTATGGAGGCACTACACAGAATGAATAATTTCATGAAAAGGGATCAGTATTCCAGTAATATTCTGTCAATACATTAAACACGGTTTTACACGGTGATTTCAGTAGATGAACTGATGAACGCACGCTCTGCACTCCCTTTAGACAAAAGATGTGGAAGTTTCTGAAAGTTTCTTCACGCAAGTGGCGACCAAGTCTTTGCTTTCACACTACAGCTTCACGTTAACACGTCCCGAAGTTGTGCTTACATAAGACCCGGAGGAATACTCCAGCAGATTCTCACGGGCCGTTTGCCCACGCCAAACGCCAGGTGGAGCCGACCTCGAGGGCAGCGCGCAGCAGCCCCTGACGGACGGCAGCGGCTGTCCCGCCGCGGACCTTTGCTCCCTCCTCCCCTCCCTTCCTTCCTCCCCACGAGGAACCACGAAGGCTCCGAGCCGGAACCCTGGCCGCGCTGCAGCCCGGCCCTCGCGGCGGTACCCGTACCTGGTTGTGGTGCAGGTGGGGCAGCGGCAGCACGGCGCTCAACGCGGGCGCGGCTCCCAGCCGGCTCAGTAACGCCGAGAGCTGCCCGGCCGACAGGCTCCGGTTGCTCCCGAAAACGCGCAGCACGTCCTCGGCGAAGGTCGCCGCCGGGCTGCCCCGCACCGCTGCCCCCGCGAGCATCTCCGCGCCACGGCGAGTGTGGCCGGAGCGCGGCCCTTCGGCGGCCCGGCGGGGCGTGGGAGGCGGCGGCCCCTCCCCGTGGGGCGTAGTGGGGAAACGGGGCGGCCCCGGCGCGGCGCTTATCCGCGACACCGCCGGCTTCGGCGCGGAGCCGTCGGGCACGAGCTCCGGGGCAGAGCGGCCTCGCCGAAGCGCCCTATGTGCAGTCTCTAGGCTAGCCAGGCGCTCCCCAGCGCGCACCTGCCGGCAGGGAGCGGGGCCGTCACTGCCGCCGGGGTCCCGCGGACAGCCGCGAGGAGCCCGCAGGCCAAGGTCCAGCTCCACGTCTGGCCCCGCCGCACGGTCCCGGCCGCGCTGTCCCGGCGGCCGAGGCACCCGGACCTTGGAACACGGCGCGGCGGCGCCCGGCAGCTCGGCTCCGTCAGCGCGCCTCTATAGCGGAGCTTCATCCGCGGTTCCACGAGGCCTTCCGAGCGAACAAACGAGGGAAGCAGGGGTATTCCCGAGTCCGTCACCCAAGATACGAGTCCTCGTGCGGCAGGACAGCGGCCGAGCAGCTGCAGCTGGACAAATCGTGCAGGTTGCTCTGTAACTCCCTGCTACAGAATTTCACGTGCTCTCTTTGAATTGGCACTGCTCACTGCGGGGATATGTGTTTTAAAGTTACCTTTTTAAAGCAGATTCTCATTAGGACCTCTGTAGAGACATGCTGAACTGGATATGCTGACACTATCCCTGATTCCAAATTTTCCAAGCCCAGTATTCACACAGTGCGCCAAGCAGGTAGAGAACCAGCAGGGAATCAGCACTGTGATGCAAGCATGGTTAAGATATTTCACCAGCACTTATGCTAATTTGGATGAATGATTCACAAATTTCATATCACAACGCACAAACAATCAACTGAGGAAAAAATAAATAAGAAGTATAACCAACTACCAGAAAGATCCAGAGTGCAACAACCACAGAAATTCTGCTATTGGAAAACTTAAATTCTTTCTGAATTACAGAGCCTGAGCAGATGAGGCACTTTCATGCCTCCCTGGGGGTTGGCAGGTGGAGGTTTACACAGCCTCTACTCCAGCCCAGCTGCCCATTGTTCAGAATTACAGTGCCCATGTGCCTTAGCGGAACCAACAGGAGTGGATGGAGATACTCCACCCTATCCATGGCTCTGCTTACATGTATGTGCATTTTTGATAACTTCAAGAAAAATCAACACAAGTTTTCTTCTGCTATGAAGGGAATCACAACATAGTGTGGCCAGCAGGAGCAGGGAGGTGATCATCCCCCTGTACTCAGCACTGGTGAGGCCACACCTTGAGTATTGTGTTCAGTTTTGGACCCCTCACTATAAGAAAGACATTGAGGCCCTGGAACGTGTCCAGAGAAGGGCAACGAAACTGGTGAGGGGTCTGGAGCACAAACCTTATGAGGAGCGGCTGAGGGAGCTGGGATTGTTCAATCCAGAGAAGAGGAGGCTCAGAGGAGACTTTATTATACTCTACAACTTCCTGAAGGGAGGTTGTGATGAGGAGGGGTTTGGCCTCTTCTCACAGGCAACAAACAGGACCTGAGGAAACTGCCACAAGTTGTGCCAGATTCAGATTAGATATTAGGAAAAACTTTTTCTCTCAGAGAGTGGTCAGGCGCTGTAGAATGGCTGCCCAGGGAGGTGGTGGAGTCGCCATCCCTGGCAGTGTTCAAGAAGGGTCTGGATGAGGAGCTGTGACATATGGTTTAGGAGCTTGTGGTAGCAATGGTAATGGGAGGACGGTTGGAGTAGATGATCTAGTAGGTCCTTTCCAACCTTGTGATTCTATGACTCTCTGATTCTTCTTTCATTACGTGAAGTGGGTCCTTCTAAACCATAATCGAGTGTGTCTATTCCTAGGCACAGCCCTAATCATAGTTAATTATTGAAGACATTCTGAAATTTGAAAGCCTCTATATCGAAGTGTTCCCTATGAACAGTAGATAAACTGGAAACGAGCACATTGGCTAAAGCAGCTACATCAAAACAAGGTGCTGGTGCCTGATTTGTCAGTGCCCTGTAGTGCAGGGCCAAAGAGTTAATTTCAAAATTGATTTAATTTTCAAGGACTTCCTTTTAAATCAGAAATATAAAGGATTATTTAAATTAGTGTAATTAAGCAAATTCAGATTTGCATTCATTCTTACTCATATTTGCATAATGCTGAAAAGTTCAAGGAATTGCTGGATAATTCCATTCAGAATTATTCTCTGTTGCTGATCCTCTACAGAATGAAAATCCTACCCTATTTTTGAGAGACAGCCAACACTTTTCCTCAAGGAATGATGCATTCGTACTGCTTTACTTGAAAAGAAAAAAAGGGTTCCTAAACTGGTCATTACTGAAAAAGATTGCAAGAATAATTGAATCATTAAGGCTCGAAAAGACCTCTAAGGTCACCAAGTCCAACCATCAACCTATCACCACCATGCCTACTGAACCATGGCCCTAAGTGCCATCTTACAAGACCTGAGGTCATGTACTTTCCCAATTGTTTATATAGCATTTGAAGGATTACTTCAGACTTTTTATGTAGTCCTGTGACGTACAGAATCAATCAGGAAGTCCGATCTTTGCTCATCTCGAGCCTGATAAGGCCTAGCCAAATTGTCACAGAGCCAAACTCTCTCAAACAGCTAGAACAATTTTTTTGGTACAGTGTGAAACAAATATTTCCCAACAGTACTTCACGGTCCTGATTCACCATTGTTTTGCTTCCCACTCTGTTCACACCTGTGTAACGTTACTATCAAATGTAAACCAGCACCAGGTGCCAGTGCAGCAGATGGTGACTGGCAGTGCTCAAGATGTCAGTCAGCTTCCCTGATCTCCTGAAGGGCCAAATCCTCTTTGAATTGGCTTTGTTTTCAGAAATTCAGTAAAGCTGTAGCTTCACATCAAAGCTAGCGTGATTTGTGATCTTCTTACTTTCTTTTCTCAAAGTGAGAAGAATCTTCTGTGTCCATTTTCATTCAAACCAATTGAAATAATCTACTTGAAAACAGCAGTCATAATCCCATAGTTTGGCAGGTAAGACTGACACACTCATTCCTTGCATTACTGTTTGCACCCCTTTTCTCTCTTTGTTGGATTAGCTACTTAAGTAGGACTAAAAATGATATCCTGTAACTGCACTTTCTCAAATGAGATGATGTATGGCCATAGATATTTCAAAGTATCTAGATAGATACTTAAAAATATTAGACTGACACCTCCAACACATTTTTTCCCCAAAAATATTTTTCTTTATGTGATCTCTCAGCAGTTCTATTTGTTCATATTCAGCATGGCCAAGATGACTCCAATAATCACAGCAACTATATGTAACATCCCATGCCTCATAGACAAATCAGAGATTAGCATAAGGTCATGACTGTTTTATGGAATTGAGGTATAGCAATAAAATAACATGTAATACTTCTAGTGTCAACCCAAATTTTTTTGTTTTGACATGGCCAAGTGCCATCTCCACTTTTTAGTAAGTATAGACCTGTAACTTACAAATTCAGTAGCTATCGAACTACTCCTTAAATATAAGTCTGAAAGTTAGGTAGAAGCTTGCCTGTAGGCAAGCTCACCAAGTATGTGCCAAGGTGAAGCCTCTAATACAACAAGGCCAAACTGAGGCAGTTTCTTTTAATCTTTAGATTATGGAAACCTGAAGCACCATGTGTATGAATTACTGTGGATTTAGTCCACACAACTGTGGAATACATTTCCATTTATATCTAATTAAATACAAGTGTGCGTAAACACAAGAGAGGTATTTAGAATATTATACAATGAGATAATTTATAGGAAAACCTTGTGTACTTCCATTGTTTTAGAATACTAGTCATCTACAAAGCAAATAAACACAGCTCAGTGAAACAGAGAGCTCTTACTGTTTCCAACATTCTGTTCACTTTCACTTAGGGCATGAATGCATCTGACTTCAGGGATTTAACTGAGCTGGTGAACATGTGCTAGAAAATCACTGGAGAGGAGTGAGCACTGTCAAAAGATAATGCTGATGCTGGGTCTTCCTTCAGCAATTTGAGCAGAAGTGCAGAACAAATATCTCATTCACAGTCACACACAAAAATCAATAAATAGATTTTAATTCTGTACCAGCTTGTTCTAGACTCCATGAGAATTCATTGAAGGAAAAAAACAACAGCAAAGCAAACAACCCCCTTTGTTAGGGTTTCTCAGGAAGGCAACTAAACTTCCAGTTACAAGTAGTTGTTGGGCTATCTTAATACACTAGTTTCTCCTTTCCTTTTCTAATTAAAGAGTGTTTTAGTGTTCACCTTTCCCCCAATCCTTTATTTTGCAAGTCATTTCCCTCAGTTGAGCAAAGTATGAGAGGAAAGAAAATTCATATATTCGCTTAGCATTCTATCACCAGAGGAAAGTTGTGCACGTGTACAGTGGCATAAACAGCATACTGTTTATGTTAGAATTTCTAAGGTAACTTTGTCATGGCACACTCGTTTTTATAAGTTTTATTTAGTGCTAGAGTTGGATGTTGTAGCATGTGTGTCTGCATGGAACCACTGGTTTTGTTTATCACATCTCAAACATGGAATTGAGTGTCTCAATCCTTAAAAAAAGGCATTACAATCAAACAAAAAACCCACCACAACCCTTTAAGGTATACTCACAATCAGTCATGGAACAGAGTATTGAAAGAGCTACAGGATAACACTATGCAAACATCTAGTAGGAGCACATTTCCTGAGCAAGTTAAAGATTTAGAAGAAAAAAGACTTAGGAATTTACAACTTAAGGTCAGATGAAAAAAAAAAAAAAATCACAAAAGAAATCAAAGAACTATATCAATACCAATACTACTGGTAGCAAAGATGGCTGAAGAAGTATGTGATAATCGACAATTTTACAATTCGATTCTCACATTGGTTCCTTATCCTAAACCTAAAATCCTGTGGAGGATTTAACAGTTAACAGTTAACTAACACAACAA